ACCTCTTTGATACTTGTCTCTGCATTGGTTCATATTCTTATGGCAGGGAACATGGCTGCTACTGGGCCCTCTAAAATCCCAATGCCTCCCTCCACTCAGCCCTATCTCCATTCAGTCCTTCCTTTATTCTGCAACAAGTGTGATCTCACTAAAACAAAAATTTAAATATAAATCATTTTCTGCAAAGGTCTCTAATGCTTCAGGATAAAACCCAAACTATTTTTCATGGTATACAAAGCCTTGAATGATCTGGTCTTTGCCTCCTTGGTAACTATCACTTCTGGATCCCTCTTTCCCACTTCTACAATAAGTCATTTTCCAAATCCATAGTGCCCTCTCCTACCTAAAGGCTTTGGCCCAAGCTGTTCCCTCTGGCTGGAATTCAATTCCTTTCTTATGTTTTTAGCAGGCTAATTTGTACTCATATTCTAAGGCTCAGATCAGGTTTCATCTCCTCTATGAATCCTTTGCAGGCTTGGACTTGAGGTGAGTGAGGAACCTTCTCTTTGAATACCTCAATTGTGATACTGAGGACATTTTCTTAAATTATCTGATTATTGGCTGGATCCCTTCTAGATTGTGAGCACAGATTATGTTTTTTAAATCACTGTGTCCCAGGGACGAATATGGTATTACCCCATATATATACTTAAAATGAGAAAGAAAAAAATTTATGCATAAAAATGAGAGTAGATATTAGACATATGGCCACATTTATTAATATACTTATAAAGGAGCCTTGGTGGCGCAGTGGTTAAGAGTTCAGCTGCTAATCAAAAGGTCACTAGTTTGTATCCACAAGATGCTCCTTGGAAACCCTATGAGGTAGTTTCTACTCTGTCCTATGGGTCACTATGAGTCAGAACCAACTCGACGGCAACAGGTTTGATTTTGGTTTTTCGGTATACTTAGAAAATGGACTGACTTGGGTTTCCAATTTTTATTTTATTAAAGGCAGTTTTAAAAATTCCTATCTCCATAACTGCATAAAAAGAAAGGCTATTTGCACCAAAAGTACAGAAGAGATACAATTTAAGAATAAAGGGTAGTCCCATAAATCACCAGGGATGGTGACACTTCAGCAGAGCACTATGGATTCCCCAGGATCACGAACTTACATCAGACCAGTATTTGGCAGCCAGTGACCTACATTCTCTTCTTCAAATATAACTTCTCACAGAGGCTACTGATACAGGGCAAAAAGGAGACAACTAATTAGAGGTGGTACTTTATGAGATGGTCTAGAGCATAAACTAGGATTCCCTGTCTCTGAGTGAGTGTAGGTCCACACGCTTTGGTAATGAGAGGAAATAGTTGTAGGTTTAACATTCTCTTATGAAAAGTGAGTATATTCTTTAATCCTCACACCCCATCATTCCCTTCATAGCCACCATTTACACCACATCACTCAGTCATGGTTGGCAGCTATGACATGCCTAGAATGAAATATGAACCTGCTCCTCTTTCCACCAGCTTTATCCCAGGCTAAATACATACAAGAGTCCTTAGCTTCTGGCTGTTTGTCAGGAGCAAAAACAGCACCAGGACCACGCTCAGAGAGGGCACAGTTGCCCTGGGGTTATGGGTATGGCAAGTGAAAACAGGTCTTTCCAGGAGGCTTAGCCTTCCTTTGCAGGAGCTTACTCGCTTTGAAGTAAATCTTTGTAATTGTTTTCTGTTTGATTTAGGAGAAGTTTGAAAGCTGTCACCAAGTTCTGCAGAGATGAAGAAATGCTCATCAAGAAGGATGAGGAGCTGGGATATTGCAGAGTGGGTTCCTGATGAGGCATTTAATGGCGCTTTGGGCTGTGGCAGGGTAGTAGGCTTATTCTGAGGGCCTACTTCTGAGAGCTACTCTTAGTCGTCTGCTGTTTCTTTGACTACACATATCAAATATGGAAGAATCTGCAGTTACTAGACGGTGGCTGTGACAAGTAACAGGAAATAATTTCATAGGATTTAAAAAAATATTTAGTATTAAGTATAATATATTTATTGGGCACTTAATACTTTTGAAGTGTATGAGAAAAAATACATACATATATGTGGTAAAAATACGTATAACATAACATTTACCAATTCAACAATTTTTACATGTATAATTCAGTGGCACTGATTACATTCATTATGTTGTATAACCATTACTAGTATCCTTTCCAAATTACTGTGAATATATTTTTTAAATAAAATTTTAGAAAGGCAATGGCTGCAATTTCTTTGCTATCTCTGACTGTATCTTTTCATATCTTTAATATTTCGTTTTTCAAAGGATTTGCAGCACACGGTATTTTCAAAAGAAATTACAGAGGCAAGGAGTTTGTTAAAAACTATGATACACACCATCAAAAAGGAAGGAAGGCACCAGAGAAGAGTGAAGCAAGGGATTAGTTTCTAAATTTAAGGCAACAGGGTTAAAAGATGGTTTTGTTACCATGACATTATAAACCAACTAAAAAGGTATGCAAAATCATTCCCAGGAACAAACTTTTTCACTCAAGGAGAATCTTATTTCATTGGTGCTTGTACAGGGACATTGAAGTAATAGAGTTGGCATCGGGTACAACTTATAGAAATGCTATTTTAAAAGACCTCTCATATGAATACTTTGCAAAGGTTAAGGCTTAACATTAAAACTCATGGAAAGCATTTCAAGTTGGGAAAGGATCTGAGACAACATGGGCCAAATAAATGCCACTGGACTGACTCCCTCAAATATCTGACAGCATGTGCCGCCTTCAGCAGGTGCTGGGGGTCAGTTAATGACTGAATTCTCTAACAAGTACTTGTAGAACAAAAATTCTGTTCTTAATTTAGAGTCACATGCTCAGGCTCAGCCCTAGGGTTAAAGAATCAGAGTCTCTAGGAGAGTCAGGGGCCAGAAACCTATCTATATTTTTAATGAAGCTCTACTGACAATTTGCAGGCTAGGCAGGGTTGGGAAGTGCTGCTTTAGGTCACAGTTTGGTTTAGAGTCCTCTAGTTCAATTTAGTTTAGTTCAGGTTCTCAAAGCACCTCTGTGGGTGGGGCCTGCACTACTGACTGGAGAAGGGGTAAACCCAGAAGAAAGCAGAGCCATAGAAAACTCTATCCACGTCTGGTCTTCATGCTGCATCCTCCAACATCTTTTGGTCATTGTTTTAACAATCACCATGGGACACATTATCTTAGGAAAACTGTTGAAAAGGCTCCATATTTGGAGAATGTTTTCAGGAGAGATATCCTTATTCATTTCTTGCCATGGTTCTGCTTTAATTACTCAAAGGGAAAGAAAAACATGTTATAATTCTGAAGTGCGAATATAAGCTGAGTCCCTGGATAATGCAAAGGGTTAACACGCTCAGCTGCTAACCAAAACGTTGGAGGTTCAAGTCCACCCAGAGGCGACTCGGAAGAAAGGCCTGGTGATATACTTCCAAAAAATCAGCCATTGAAAATCCTATGGAGCACAGTTCTACTTTGATACACATGGGGTTTCCATGAGTCAGAATCAACTCGACGGCAACTGGTTTTTGTTGGTTAGAATTATGTTTTCATATAGGAAGCCAATGAGCAGATAGACAAGAGATAAAGCAATTATTTTCCTCAAAGCATTTCTGTGTGTGCTTGACTGACTCCAAAACCCACTGCTGTATAATATAGGAGATATAATTTAATTCTGAAATTTTTAATTAGGACTTTACAGGTCACTGCTTTTCCCTTATCTGCCATCTACCTACTCCCTCAGATTTCATCTATGTCTATTTGGAATCTTTTCCTTTATTTCCAACCTCGTTTCCCTTTACAGCTGCTCTTAAGTTTAATTCTTATCAGATACCACCTGTATAAAAGTACTACCAGGAATATGGATGAAGGAAGAAATGGAAAGGGGCTATGCCACACACAATGTGATTTATTCCACAGCCTGTACTTTTATAGGATTGGTAAAATAAATAAATAAAGGTACATCTGCCTCAACCTACAGATCAGAAATCAAAGTTTGACTTGACATTGACATTGACTCCTCTACCCTTTCAATTTACCCAGGTAGGAGTGTTTCTAGACCTCTGTTGTTGTTAGCTGCCAATGAGTTGGCCCTCGACTCACGGTAACCCCATACACAACGGGATCGGACCATTGTGATCCATGTTGTTTCAATGGCCGATTTTTCAGAAGTAGATCGCCAGACATTTCTTTCCCGTCTGTCTTAATCCGGAAGGTCCACTAAAGCCTGTTCAGCATCACAGCAGCACACAAGCAGACTGACGGATGCTGGCTGCACTTGAGAGGCACTGGCCAGGAAATGAACCCAGTTCTCCCCCATGGAAGGAGAGAGAATTCTACCACTGAACCACCACTGCCGTCTCTGGGCCTCTACTGGGTACAAGTCACACTTTGTACTTGTAATGCTTTAGACCTGACAAATCCCTTTCACATACATTGTCTCAATCATTATGACAACCCTGTGAGAGTACTATCCCCACTGAAGCACATGCAGAAGTTGAGGTACAGAGGGGTCCAGTGACCTGCCCGATGTCACCCAGCCTGTGAGTGACAGGGCCAGGCTTTAGACTCTCGTCTCACAGGAATGGGCTTAAAACCCACCCCAGCCATCAGTCCCTGACATATGCTGGAAAGAATGTTAAAGGCAAAGAAATAGTTTCCTAGAATAAAGTTACAGCAGTCTGCATGTCCTTCTGTAGCTGATAACTGGGGCATCAATTTCCTTTGAAAGTTAGGGCCCTACATAATCAGTTTCTCCATGGAAGGTACAAAAGACTTAGTGTAATTTATGATGCTGATCCTGATCTACAACTAGATTCCCAGGACCTGGAGTCTGAGATATAAAGAACCATTACCATAACCTTTTTGTCAATATAGAAAATTGCTTCTATACTCATATCCGTACAATATCTTATTAAAAAGAAAAATGCAATAGGTCATCTTCCATCTATAATAAGTTTGATAAGATCACCATATTTTAAAATCCATATTCAAGGCAACAAGATAAAGGTCTGCTTACCCTTCCTTCATGTCATTAATGGGAAGTGGAACCCTGCCGCCCCTGTCTAGAGCCGACGTGATGTTTATGGCGTTGAGACGCTCCGGCTGCCACACATTTTTCACTGCCCCAAGAAAGTCTCCAAGTACCTCGCTGGCCAACATTTCTTCTACATTCATATTTTTAATGAAGAATTCTGCTTGATATGGTAACGGGAAATCTAATTTTGGTGAAAAAGAATATGCGTATCTTGAATGAAGTAGGTTTTTAAGGGAGAAGCAGAAGGACAATTTGAGATTTGTTGAGTTCTGTTATAAACCTGGCATTGAGGAAAACTATTAATACTGACTTTAAGGGCTTTCTCTATAATGGAGAGACCTATCTAAAAACATTACGTACATCAGACACAGAACTGTCTCTACAATATAATTAAATCTAAAGTATAGCAGTTCAAGTTACAGTTATAGGACTTGGCCAGAAAAAGAAAAAAGCCAAATCTACCTCAAACAGTTTGGATTAATTTGCCAGTGTCCCACCTGCCTCCTCATCCTTTCAATTTACCCAGCTGGAAGGAGGATTTTAAGAACTCTGCATGGTAGAAATAATAATTTGCTGTGCTTGAGAACTAACAAATCCTTTTCAAGTATATTATCTCATTTAATTACTGCAACAATGTTATCTCTATGTAAACAGAGGAGGAAGTTGAGGCACAGAAATATTCTCTCCAAAGAGAGAAGATACTACAAAATATCCGTACTTGCATTTGGGTTGTTTATATACGATTTGAAATATCCTATCTTTAATTTGAATATTACTGATCCTTTTGGAGCATACTAAAACATTACTTTTTCTAAAATAAATACTGATTACATTTTCAATAACAATTCTAAAATCATGGCAATTCCACTCTTTCAATCACCATATAATTAAATATCTTAGAAAAAATATATTATCAAAATTCTTTTGAAATTAAATGTATCACATTGCTAAAATTTTACTTGACTTTTTTCCTTCCCCAACGTCTCATCAAAATTTCTCTCTAAGCATTTCAAAATTAATGTTTTAAACCAACCCAATGTCAAATTCAGACTCTCAGCATAAGAAACTCTAAAAATATAAAAATATTTCAGTTTCTCAAATGTTACTCTTGAATTGGGGAATCATAAGTTCTTATATTCTGATTGTTGTATTAAGATAGTTTTTATTTTATAACATTTCTGTAATATTTTAAAATATCTAACATTCAAAAATATCTAATGTTTTAATTTTTTTAAATCTTCTGCTAATATTTTTTTATATATTTACTATGAGGATGGCTAAGCATTTAGGTGAATTATCACATTTGATCCTCACAGCCAGAGGGTGAGTATATACTAGTATTTTTCTCCATAACTTCCAGATGGGAAAGCTAAGCTTTAAAGCAGTCCAGGAACTTATTATAATTTGAACTTACCTCATATGATTTTTATCTAAGCTAAAGAAAATTATGTACTTAAAGTGCTCAGAAGAGTTCCCAACAAATAGCAAGAACTTGGTAAATATTAAATTTTAGCTCTTATGATAGTAATATGAACAGGTTAATAACCTGAATTATTCCTTTAAAAAGAAAAGGTCTCTGGACTATACACAGATTTACAGCTGCCAGTAGTAATTATGTATATCTGATTTATTTCAATAAAACAAATGTATCCATACCATATTTCACTCTTATTTAATAATTGAGTAAAAAATAAAAATTACATATTTAATAACTCAAATTTCAATGACCTCATTTCTCATGAAGTCTCTTTGATATTAAAGGACATTCAATGCCAAAGGAAAAGTTAGGGAAGATACTCTGGCTTCAGAGTTTCAACCAAGAGTGTTCTAGAGTATAGTCCTTTCTCACTATAGATTTAGTTTTTCCAGGCCCTAGTCACAGAAGAGTCTTTACTCTCTCCTACACTGTCATTTATCCCACTCATGGTTATGTTAGATTTGCTTGATGTATAGCCCATCTGCAATCTTCTAAAATATGATATATTTACTCTATTTTATGCAGATAAATTTTCCTGTTTCATACAGATTAATACATTTCCTGTTTTAGATAGATAAATAGTAACTTAATCATGCTACATTTTCTACCCATACCTAGAAATAATAATGCAGAAATGTGTCACAAAGAACAGCTTCCTGGCAATAAATAAGAACATCTTTATAAATAATACCGAATATAGTTTTTGAGGATACCAGAAGTCTATCATCTATTCAGTGTGTTTACAACCAGTTTTCTAAAAAAGCTTATGAAACTTTTTTCTTGTGATCAGTACTCCTTTTCGGAGGATAGTTCTTTGTCTTTTTCTGATCCATGTGACCCCGTTCCGTGGCTCCCTTACGACCTGCTGCAAACCCTCTCCGGAGCCAGGCCCCTCAGATGCTCTGGGCCACGCAGCTGCCTGCTGTCGACCCAGCGAAGTGCTACTGCCAGACCGCCCAGAGATGAGTCACAACAGCTTTCTAACTTTGGGGAAATCCCATGCCTGCTATATTTGGACATCACAGAGGCCAACAGAACAGTAGGCCAACAGATTAGTGGCAGGCCTCTGAGGCACTGAAACCCAATTTAGAGAATCACCTTATATTCTCTCCTCAGCTCCACAGTGTGATTCTACATGATTAATGTCCCATTAGGTCTCTCGGAGCAGGAGACAGCTGGGCAGGGAGTGTGTCTGAGCATGACTGTCCTGATATTCACCTTTCGTTGTTTCTTTTCCTAAACCTTATCTGACAGGAAATGAGTGTAGGTCTATCTCAAAGAAATAAGTTCCATTGACCATTTTCCCACATATGTTGTATCTAGACCAGCAAGGACAAAGGTATGCCATTTAGTTTAATGGTTTTTAAATAGTTTCAGGCCACTGAATCCTGTTAAAAGCAGTGAAGCAGCTCTGAGTGAAGTAAAGGTGGAGGCCGCCAAACCCACCTGCTCCTCCTCCCTCACCAGCACAGCATCAAAAATCCCTGGTTTAGATTCAAACCACCAACCTTTCAGTTAGCAGCCAAGTGCTTAACCATTGTGCCACTGGGCTCTTTGATTTAGATCAATAGCCCCTAAAACTAACTTTCAACCTAAAGTTGTCTAGAAATCTCCCATTAGTACCTGCCTGATCCTGGGTCTCCATATTTCAACAATGGCACCTATAAAGGTGTCTGTATACTATCTCCAGGATTGAGACCAGACTTGAGAAGGAAGTTTATGCTGTAGACCAGGCTGTCTTTCAGTCTGTAGGGACCCCAATACCTACCAGAGGGTTTTGAGTCCTCTGAGAGTGTAATGGTGAGGTTAGGTGGTCCAAGCCCAATGTAATACAACTATATAACTATGCTGATGAATTCCCAAGGAAGAAGGGAACTCTGTAATTATTCTGTTTATGAAGGATATTCCAATTCTACAGAGGCAGTTTAGACTGGATGTAAGCATCCAATTATAACTGAGGTCAAGAACAAAGTCTCCCTGACCCAAACATAAATTCCTACCAAAAGTCCTTGTAGGGGCTGGAGGGTAGACAGAGACGACTCTCTGTCCATGCCCACAGAACTGGCATTTGGGCTTGCTTTTCATATACAAAGGCCATTTAAAATTTTAAATTCGCCCATCTGCTGTCTGCCATTGGTACTGCTAAAACACCTGGGAAAAAACATTTCACTTAAGGAAGTTCAAAGTTTTCAAGCAACCTCTCCAAGTATGTACAGTATGATCGATTTTATAGAAAATGCTTCGTTTCATATAGTATAAAGCAGTTTCTAACCCAGCTTTACTGAATTACCATGAATTCCAAATTAGTAGCTTCTGATAAAATATTTGGTGTTTCCTCAATTGTTTCTAATTGTGTTTTAATTGTACCAATAAATATAACAAGAAGTCTCTTATGGATTACTATTTTCAGGTGGAGAAAAATTCTGTATCAGTTCCTCTCCCGTCACATTTATAAACGATATCTGGAATAGAAAGAACTATCCCTTGATTTATAAATTTTAACTACCAAGTTTGTAGTGGTATACATTTTTCCCAGTCAAATACCAAAATAAAGGGAAAATGTTTGGCAATGTAATTCTTGGGATGTTTTCTTTGTCTTTAACCTTCAAATTCCTGAGGGAAGAGCTTACAATTTGAGCTTACGATATGTAAATCTGAACTGCTGATGGACTCTAGCAAGTACTGATGGATGATTAGCTATTCAGGAAGGAAACTGTGGCCCAAATTACAGTTTATTTCTATACACCAATAACTATATTTTTGGCATACAAGTAAACTACTACCTATAGAAGTTTTAAAACAAAATAATAAAAACAGCTAATAATTATTGAATGTGTATTCTGTGCTAGCTCTGCGTTAAGCACATTTCAGGCCTTAACTCATGTAATCTTTACCAGAGATTTATAAGGGAAATGCTATTCTTTGCAACATTTTACGTGAGGAAACCAAGGCTTACAGAAATATTAATAAGTGGCCTATCTGTTTGGTTCCCTCTCCTGAGCTCTTAACCACCATATCATGATATTTTAGAAGGAATGCACTTTTGCTTAATAGTTTTCTACATTTTACTATTTAATCTATCATATTAGGTATGTGATTCCTTAAAATCCTTTACTCTTTTTATAGTTATAAAAGATCATGAAACAGGCTTTTTGTAGATAAAGAAATGATCATCAACATACTTTTCCATACCTACCTTCTGCGGACATTGTATTAATGATCAAATTATGTCTTGCAGTCTCAAAGGTGCGCCTATTGTAGGCAGTTATCTATTAAAAAAAGAAAATCATATTAAAGAAGTGGAATGTTCTTCGAAAAATGAAATTCATTAAGGACAAAATAAAAAAGAATCGTCATTCATTCCATTTTCTTTACTTACAAAATATTCCTCCTCTGGGCAATAAAAACTCAGAGCTTTTAGCAATATTACAGGAAAATAAACAATTAGGTGTATTTAACATGCAAAAACAAAAAAATAAAAAGCAGAAAGGCCCTTTCAGAAAGGCTGTAAGTGCTGGTAGCTGTACAGATACATAATTAGTAAGTGGATTAACCATTCTGAATTACTTAGCGATGACATTCTAAGATTTCAAAAATAAAACACACAAATCAAACCCAACCAGCCAAGAATGTAGTTTTGCACTTTTAAATGGATTTCAAGGATTATACTGGAAAATATACTTTAAAAACATGCATATCTGTGCTATTTGCATTTAGTACTGAACTGCACACCAACTAGTCCAGTTCATGAATAGCATATCATCTCTCACTTATGATAGGAGGAAAGCAGTAATTATCATAGTCTATGAAGCCCCTGGCACATACTCAATAACACCAATCAATCCCTTCATAGAGTCAAATATTAGTAAACATTTGGAGAGCCAATGAACTTACATCAATGTCAACTCAGAAACAGCCACTGCAGATAACAAACAAAGCCAAGGCCACCAGGATATGGCTTCAAAAATCACAGATTAACCTTAACAGATAGTAAAACATTCCAACATATCTGCAGTACCTCAAAAAAGCAAATGCTTGTGTAAAAATCTTAGAATCCCAGTTCTAGACCTCAGGCAGTGAGAGCAGCTGTGGGTAACACTGAGACAAGAGAGTAGGAGAAAACTGACTCATACTAAAAAGGAAACTCTTTAGCATTTAAAACCGAGTATCAAAGTTTTTACAGCATCATAAATGTGCTTCAAATGAAATATATACATTGGAAATATTATTTGTAGTTAGAACAGAAAGAATCAATATTTTGGAACTAGCAATTCTAAACCTTTAATGATATTTAAAAAGTACATTTTTTCTGAAAGGTATATTATTCCAAAAAATTTTTTTAAATCTGTCTCCACAATTTGTCAAATGTACGTTGGACTTTATCACTTCCTTGCTTCTATCTGTTGGGAGACATAATTAATTAGGTTCACACTGAACACGTAAACTAAAACTAGCCAATAAAATGAACTAGGAGGTATTGTTCACAAAGAAGCAAGTGAAAAAACATGTAAAAAATATATATATCTTGGGGAATCCTCATGATTTAAAAAGTTCCCCTGCAAAAAACTTAATCATAGACTGGACTATGAGACACAAAATGATACTCGTGAAGAGTGTGCTTCTTAGCTCAAGTAGATACGTGAGATTAAATGAGCAGCTCTCGTCTGGAGGCGAGATGAGAAGGCAGAGAGGGTCAGGTCAGGACCTGGTTGAATGGACACAGGAAATCCGGGGTGGAAAGGAAGAGTGTGCTGTCACAATATAGGGAGAGCAAGCAGGGTCACAAAACAATGTGTGTATAAATTTTTGTATGAGAGATTAACTTGAATTGTAAACTTTCACTTAAAGCAACAACAAAAAAAATGCACTCATTATAGAACATGCTGAAAGTGTGCATATATATAAAGAAAAAAATAAACATCACTACAGATTAAAAAAAAAAAACTTAATCATAGTTTCAATGGAAAAAGGATCAATTCTCTATTTTTTGTTATAATATCTTGAAGCCTCAGCTCAGAAAGGAAGACCACATATTTTCAAACTAACTGCAATGTTTTTATGACTGGCCTGCCCATATGCATCTTAAATTTCATTATTGTAAATTTCACAAATTCTAATAAGATTTCTTTTTTTTAAATCACAGGCTACTGAAGGGAGTGAAGAACATTTTATATCAGGAGAAATTGTATTATCTGAATTTATATTGAATGTTTAATTTTAACAGATATGGTAGAATGCAGTCCTTCTATCAGTTGTAATGAGATACTGAAATACTGCAATATTCTCAATCAAATTTCACTTATTATTATGACGTGAAGACCATGAGAGCAGATACATGTATATGTCTGCTTTATTTTTGATCCCCTTTCTAGAACTTTGCTTATTTTATATTTTTTCAGAAAAATACAGCATAATTTCACACTTATTTATTATTTTTAATTGTATTTTAGATGAGGGTTTACAGAGCAAATCAGTTTCTCATTAAACAATTAATATACATATTGTTTTGTGACATTGGCTGCCACCCTCACGACATGTCAACACTCTCTCCTTCTCGACCGTGGGTTCCCCATTACTAGTTTTTCTGTCCCCTTCTGCCTTTTTGTCCTGATCCCTGGCTGGTATGCCCATTTAGTCTCCTTTTGTTTTATGGGCCTGTCTAATCTTTGGCTGAAGGGTGAATCTCAGGAGTGACTTCAGTACTGAGTTAAACGGGAGTCCGGGGGCCGTACTCTCAGGGTTTCTCCAGTCTCTGTCAGACCAGTAAGTCTGGTCTTTTTTGTGTGTGTGTGTGAGTTAGAATTTTGTTCTACATTTTTCTCCAGCTCTGTCCAGGACCCTCTACTGTGATCCCTGTCAGAGCAGTCAGTGCTGATCTATTTTAGATGCAATAACTGTCTACTGAATGAATGAATTAATCAGTGGATTTATATGATCAAATATTAGTTTAAGATACGCAAAACTCTTTTGACTAATGATATTTCAAAATACAGTAAGTATATTACTGTTGTTGTTGTTAGGTGCTGTTGAGTTGATTCCAACTCATAGTGACCCCATGAAACAGAGCCGGCTATAATCTTTATGGGAGCAGATTGCCAGTTCTTTCTCCCAAAGAGCTGCTGGGTGCATTCGAACTGTCAACCTTTCAGTTAGCAGCTGAGTGCTTAACTGTTGTGCCATGAGGGCTCCTTAAATATGTTACTGTATATGAATATAAAAAATGAGTTATTTACAGATAAATGACTACTTGCTTACATGAAAGATCTGCTACACTCATCATTATCTTCTAATCTTTATCATTATCTCCTTAGTATATTATTTAAGAGTAAGGTATAAGAATATAATGAACCCCAAGTCAACATGCAGACATGTCTCTCCTATCCTAGTCCCCTGTCTCTCCTCAAGCAGAAGTAACCATGTTTTATCATAAATGCATGTATGCTATAAAATATATTGTTTAGTTTTCTTGTTTCTGTTCTTTATAAAAATGGTATCAAACTGTATGTAGTCTTCTGGGACTTGCTTTTTTTTATACAACATTACATTTACAACATTCATCCATGTTGCTGGGCAAGCTTAAGTTCATTGCTGCTATATAATCTAACTGTGTGACTACATCACAATTTACATATTTTCTTGCTGATGAACTTTGGAGTTACTATTGTTTCATGGGTGTCCAGTGTTTTGCTATACCATGAGCATGATGGGACATCCCTCCAAGTGGGCATGTCCAAGTGTTTCTTTGAGGTACAGAGGTAGAAGTGGGACTACTGGATCACAGGGTACAGTGATACTCAACTATCTGAGATATTTCAGTACTGTTTTCCAAAGTGGTTGTGCCAATTCCCACACCCACCAGCAACGAATTTTACTCCGGGGAAAATTCTCATTGTGGTTTTGATTTGAATTTTCCTCATTACTGATAAGATTCAGCTTTTTTACTTAAGTTTATTGGCAATCGTGTCTCCCTTTTAAAAATATGTCTGTTCACATCTTTTTCTTTTTGCATTGTAGGACTTCTTTTCATATTCTAGATATTAACACTTAGTCAGCCATATGTATTGAAAATATCTTATCCCTGTTTGTGGCTTTTTTTTTTTTAAATGGTGTCTTTTGATGAACAGAAGTTCTCAATTTAAAATAGTAAAATTTGTCAATATTTTCTCAAATAAAAAAAATTGAGGTCTTATTTAAGATCCCAAGGTCAGAAAGATATTCTTCTACATTTTCATATAATAGTTCAAATTTTGCTTTTCATACTGAAGTCCTTAATCTGTACAGAACTGTGTTTGGTGTGAAGAATCTAGCCTTGCTGTTAAGTTTTTCCATATGAATAAGGAATTGTCAGAGCACCTCAAAAATAAATAGACATTCTTTTCCCTAATGATCTGTAGCACCATCTATACATACATATATCATAGTTTCTTATGTAGATGGACTTGTTTCTGCACTCTCTATTCTATTCATTGGTCAATTTGTTTATTTCTGATTAAAACTTTGGAGAAAAACTCAAGGTATGAATTCTCTGAGAGTTTGTATCTGGTAGAAAGCATGACACTCAATACCTGTACAAGCCCCTGGCAATCTGACTGTCACTTCCCATGTTACCACTTAGTTACTACCAGTAAATACTTGTGGAATTAAACAGCTAAATTAGAATCCAAGATCCTAGAGGCATCAGGGCCTAAAACATGCATATTTAGGACTCCCCTGCCATTAACTGCCATTATAATTCTGATTTTGTTGGGAATAATAAACAGTGAAACACTTTTAGTTATATACCCATTCTTTTTTTTTAAAGTACTAATTCTAATTAAAGGTTTAACAGGATTGCTTTTTTTGTTTTTAATTTCTAATACTTGTGGATATGATGTTAGGTACTGATGAAAACATGATGAATTATAATACCACCATCACTTCTAGGATAAAGCTACACACACATCAGCATGGCTTACAGAGTCCTCAAAGATGTGCTCCTACCAACATCAACACTCAGTTCCCATCCTTTGCCCACTGGGGCGCATCCTGCCCTCTAGTTACACCTGTAGTTCACTAAGCACCATGTGGTTTTCTAATACCTCTCTGACTTTGATGTGCTATTTCCTCTACCCAAGACAGTCTTCCTTCTACTTTGTGAAGTACTTATCATCTCACAACTCTGCATAAAGCAGCACCTTTTTTATTGTAGCAGTTATTATAGTGTTGGCTAAGTACGTGTTTCCATCCCAGTACTCCAACCCCTGGACTATAACACTCAAGGCTCATCTTTCGATCACCTGCACCTAGTATAATGCTTGGCACATGGTAAGACCCTATATGCCTGATGAATAATTATATTTCAATGAACATGAAATTTCAAAATATGTGGAGCAAATAAGTGTTTTAAGTGTGCATTATTTTCTTTAATAGAATTCATATTATAGTAATTCTTCTATTTCTTTAAAATGTCTTTGCATGTTTCTTCACTAATTGAGAATGTCCTTTTTTATATAAAGGCTAAAACAAAACCTTTGTAAATGGATAGAAAGGAACGGTACATTTTCAAATATCATCTAATGTGCTTCCATGTACAATATACTAAAAACCATTATCATGTAAATTTAATTACAACGCCTGAAACTTAAATTACAAAAAAATCCAAAAACATAGATTTGGCTGTTTCTGTATAATTACCTCAATGACTGTTGGTTTCCCCACACTTTCAGCTGTTGGAGACCCATATAGGACTCCGTCACTATAAGGAGTCCTTTGAATATATCGAAGCCATCCAGGTCGGTCTGGGTAACCCATCAGATTTGTGTTAAACGTTATGGGGTCATTACTAATCTCACCTAGATAAGAAACACAGAATTAGGGAGACGTAAGACAGCTATTTTCACAAATTTTTCTTTGATAGTTTCAATGAAAACATTTGTGTCTAAAATTTTACGTATTTTTTTCTTACATTTGTAGCAAAATAAACAGAAGAAACATCCATCTGCGAATTTAGACTATGGCCTCATGTAAACAAAAAATCCATTTGGTTGTTTAGTTCATCTAGAAATTTGATGCAACAAAAAATGCAGGTGCACATAATTTACTAGGAATTGTTTTCTTGGTTACTTAGTAGTGGGGCAGCTCTGCCAGAGAGACAACTGTTTTTCAGGAAAATCACCTAATCATATTGATGTATCCGTATTCTTAAGGAGCCTAGATACTACCAAATTAATCTTAAAGAGTATCATAAAATTATAAAAGCATCATCAAAACAAAAATAATATAATTTTAGAACACTGGAGGATAGGATGAAAACAATGTTACAAATCTAAAACAACTACAGTAGTGACAGCATTTATTAGTAATACACAATAATAATAACATCATTTATTAGCATATACATGGCCCTGTGCTAAGTGTTTTACAGGCACTATTTCATCTGATTTTCACAATGTACCTATGAAGATGGTACTACTATTAGCCCTAATTTTACTGATGGAATATGTAACTTGGAGAAATTAAGTAACTTTTCCACAGTCACATTAAATGGTAAAACTAGAATTTAATCCAGAGTTGACTCCTGAAACTAGGCTCTTAACTACATGGCTCCTTCTCAAATGTTAGAGCTGTTACTCAAGAAGTTTAACCAAAATAGTTTTGCAAACATGGAATGCCTCATAAGAAAATGTTTTTTAATAATTGATGAAAAGACTACCTTTTTCTTGAATGCTATTGAGAACTGGTTAACTGTATTTTATAAGTGTTTTCAGGTATGCTATTCATCACATAAACCACAAAAAGGATATTTATTTCCTGAGGTTCACACTTCAGCCAAAGATTAGACAGGCCCATAAAACAAACGAGACTAAATGGGCACACCAGCCCAAGGGCAAGGACGAAAAGGCAGGATGGGACGGGAAAGCTGGTAAGGGGAACCTAAGGTTGAGAGGGGAGAGCGTTGACATGTCATGTGGCTGGCAACCAATGTCACAAAACAATATGTGTATTAATTGTTTAATGAGAAACTAATTTGCTCTGTAAACCTTCATCTAAAGCACAATTTAAAAAAATAATATTTTTTAAAAAATTTTCTTTCTGGAAGAGTTTATCAGATGTATTAGAATGCATGTAATCTCATGAAAAGTTATTTTTAAACATTTAGAACTTCACCAGGTAGGTTAAACTGGGTTGTTTTGATTTAAATTTTTGTATCATATATGTATAATTTTTCTCATAAAAAAGAATATATTAATTCTATTGCTAAAAATGTGCTCCTACAAAATATAATTCTGAGAAAATTTATTTTTATTTGCCACTTAAGTAAGAGTTCTAAAAATTTATTATGTTTTCTCTTGCTATTCTTTATCTTCATTAACTTGATCACCTGTGTTCAAAGGAGCCCTGGTGGCGCAGTGGTTAAGTGCTTGGCTGCTAGCCATAAGGTCAGCAGTTTAAAGCCACCAGCCACTCCATGGGGAAAGATGTGGCAGTCCGCTTCCATAAAGATTTACAGCCTTGAAAACCCTATGGGGCAGTTCTACTCTGTCCTATGGGGTCACCATGAGTCAGAATCGACTCAACAGCAACAGGGTTTTTTGGTAACAACTCAGCATAATGTATTTAAACCAAGAAGACTTCATAATTGGCATTACTTTGAAGGAAAAAGGTTATCTCCATTATACGCTTATGAAGTTATATAAAATTATCTCATATTTTAAAAGCTTTTTTGAGAACTCTTTCTTAATATATTTCATTCTCTTCTATAACATATGTATACTTTTCCAAAAATCAATGTACTATGTAAGAATCTGAGTCTTAATAGGGAAAATCATAATTGTACAGCTCTAATTATCACTATGTGAATACAGGTAGATCTTTTGCCAGATGCATAAAACTCAAGACTGAGAATCCAGAAATATGTTTTCTTTAAAATTCAAAAATGAATTACATCCTTCTGTAGTTAAATTCCTAATCTTAAAAGGAGAAATATCCTGCAACAACCAATTTATCACTTATCACAACCATTTCAAATAATGTTAAAGATATCTGATCACAAACCATCTAGATTATGCACACTGAACAAAAAGAAAAATGAAGTAAATTAACCACTCCCCCCGGCCCCCACCAAAGAACATACCAGGTTTTGGGTAAGGTGGAAACTCCCCCTTAAAATACTCTCTTTCCAAAACATGAACAAAGAGGACTCCAGCAGACGGGTACACATTCCGATCAGAGTGGACCTTGGAGAAAATAGTGTACACTGAAAACAAAGAGGAAAGATAAGAGATAGAAAGACAAATATAAGGAGATACGATATGATAATGCAGCTTACACTGTAGTAAAAGTTTTCATTACGCAGAAGTTTCTGGGAAAACTGAAGCAACACGCAAAGTAACTGTTAATAACAGTTTATTTTAAAGGGAAGTAATTTTAGGACAAAGCATGGAACAACTCTTTCAACTTGGTGTGCTTATAGCCTTTTCAAATATTATGCAGACAAATCAGGTACATTTAATATTTTAAGTTGTTATTAAATAATGAAGACATACATAATATCTTTTTGGTAATTTCTTTCTACTTGAAATTATTGCCCAAAATACACATCATGAAAACTGACCAACTATATAATTGCTGTAGATTCTTTTCTTTCTCCTTTGTTTTTTAAAATAAAAGTACACAGTGTAATTTTTTTAATGGTAAGAATCTACACTGTATTAATTGTTATCTAGATAAAGCACATCAGACTGTATAATACCCGTAACACATGTAAGGTGACTTTCACATATACTTGTAAAAATGCATTGGATACTTTTACTATAAGTATTCATTCCTCATATCTCACCAAGAAATAATTTATTCCATTTTCCCTGATCTTGACATTTAATAATTCAAACAATATAATCTATTATATTATGCTACATTCTAAATAAGCAATAAAAATTATATAATAAAGCTTAGTGCAAATAATTTCTGTCAGTGAAATGGGGAGATTTCATGATTTACTGGTTACCTAAGACATATGATGTGGGTACATTAAAATGGCCAAATTGGTTTGACTAGTTTCCACCTATTGTTTTTCCTCTGATATCATCATCTCCACCAACACATCACTGCCATTACTCTTGTCACCTCTACAATCTCCTCTGGGTTTCTATCTTCCTGATTGGCTAACAGCTGTAATTTTTAGACAAATAAACTCTATCAAGCCAGTTCTTCCTCTTAGTCACTGATGGATTTGTAAATACAGTAATTAACCTTAGAACCCCAAGGCTGCTTGTTCCAGGCTCACAACTTACTAAAAGCCCTGGATAACACGATCACTTGACAGTAAATTTTTCAGCATAAAAATAGGAACTCCACAAAATGTTTCTCTATCTGTGAAAACTTGTCCTTGCAGTTCTGTGGAAGACAGCCAAAAAAGGGGAACTGAACTAAAATATTTGGCTTGTAGCTTCACATATCCAAAGCTTTACTACTAAAAACATAACTTCAAAGGCCATGTAACAGAGGAAAGGAAGCTATAAGTTAGGTTTAAACTAGGTATTCAGGGACACTCCCATTCTTTTCTAATTTGTTTTATACTAGTATTCACAAGTGGTCTTTCCATGGCATTGAAAGTACCCGCTTTCTGCCCAAGAACAATTTACTTACCTGTAGAAAGGCTCCCACTATCGTCCAAAACGGGAATGAGTCAATCATACAAAACAGTGAGGATAAGGATTTGACATTTTTCACCAGTGTGATTCCACAACATACCCTCAATGTTACGTACTATGGGGAATGTGAAGATAAAGGAGACCCAGTCTCTGCCTTCGATGAGCTTACCATCTGGTTAGGGAGACAAACGTCACCTAACTAGGTATTATCCCGGAAGTATTAACTGCTCTGCAATACCTGGAAAAAATGGTGAAGAGTAATCAAGGCTGGAAAGAACTGGCAAGGGTTTATGTTAAGAAGTAGAATTCTATATGGCTCTGAAAAGTACTAGCAGGATTCTGAAACTCAGAGATGGACGATTCAGCATTTCAGTGGTGGAAATGCAGGTACAAGTTACAGAGGTGGGATACTGTAGAGTGCTCTCAAGAAAAGGAATTACATCAATGATGCTAGATCCTGGGGTACATTTAAGGTAGAGGGACAAAGCCTGGGAAGAGCAGTCAAATTATGGGGAACTTTGAACTCCTGCTGAGAAATTATTTCAATCTCTAGAAAAAGATGTTTTAATTCTAGACCACTACCCTACAGCCCAAGCATAGGAAGATTTTGAATAATCTAAATGAATCTCCTCAGAATTTATCCAGTTTATTCTGTCTAGAGATGAAAAACACCTTGAAGTTCAGTTCTTTACCTTTGTTATTTTCTCAGCACCTAGAAGAGAGTGGCATATTTAAATAATGTTATCAATGTCTACTGAATGGGTGAATACATCCTAATAAGAAGCATTGTATAGGTAAATAATACTCTCATGTGTGTTGAGTAAACAGATATAATATTTAATTTAGATTTCATTTTTGCAATTTGAGTTAATTATTAATTGTGTGTAGCACTTCATGGATTACTATCATCCATCTACATTGTAAACTACTAAAAGTCTCCCTTCATTTTGGCTGTTATAAGGCAGGTAAAAGCCAATTCATAAACCAAAAAGAAAGGCTGTTCATATTAAATAGCATTCAAATAATTCTATTTTATAGATAGTCCCAGGGAGGGCCTGAAGTAAAACAATAAAAGGGTACCTCCATTCCGTATCACTTCACCTCAAGGGCTAGTATAGAACCTCTTAGTTTCTGCTTTCCTAAAAGAAATTCCTGCAATCTACAGAGTTAAACCACAATCTACCACGGCCCTCCTGGGTTTTCAGATGGCATGCACGTTTCTTTATTCATGCGTACTCAATTGCCTTTCTGCGATCCACTGAACTGCATACTTGCTGGTCAGTTACCTAGGCAACTCCACAGTAAAGCCTGCTTCACTTTAAGTATAGTATGTCATTCACTTTGAGAAAAACATGATACAGATGTATGACACATTCACCATCTAGAAATGGAAAATGACTAAGCCACTATGTTTTGTTTGTGAAAATAATACTTCCTTTCTGTAACATCAGTTTAAATTATGGGCACCCACACAACATTTTCGAGAGGTGCCCTTTACCTTTGCCATTTGTTACTTGCAAAACAAACAGCTCCTCAACAGAGGCTATTTGGGCAGTATTTATACCTCTGCCTCCTTTCAAAAACAACAAATGACACAGAGAATTAGAAGCTATAAACTCTTGTTCTAAACATGGGCTGTGCAAATAATTCTGACAGGTTCTGCACCAACATCCACAAAGGCTGTTACTAACAGTTAACACATGTTGCACTCATATGTGTCTAGGTAGGACTCACAAACTGTAAGCTTGAAACATACCGTTTTCCTTAGAGCAAGTCTTGAAAATCAAATTTAAACACTCTAAGAATCCACAATACTAGATCTAATAATCTCTGAAATATACATGTGTAAGGTGCCATGCTAATCAAGCCAAGGTCACAGGGCCGGGCCTCTCTGTGTATCGCATGGCTCTGCAATCTTTTACAGCTACAAATCCATTACCTCTGCAAACACATGCTGCTGGATACAAACGAAACTGGAAACCAGTGTGTGGCTAAGTCCATGGAAATCCATCACCATTAATGGGAAAAACAATTAAACCAAAAGCCCCAACCACAGGGGATCAAAAACATCATCTTCAAATAGCCAGGGTAGCTAGATTTGCAAAGACTAAAAATTCCTGAAGACAGGAATTTTAATCTTATGTAACAAACATTTTTTAAGAAAAATTACATATTGCATCTGTGTAGACAAGACCCAAAGGGGTATGTGGGCAAGTGGCTAGGAAAATTATCTCAACATTCCTAAATGTATGTCCAATGTCTCTCATCACCATGCTACCAAAATCTTGTTTATGAAACTGTTTTCTGTACATTTTAGTCATAAGATACAGAAACTACAGATCATTTCAACATCTGGATATTATGTGACAGCAGAGAGCCAAGAACCAAATAACAAAACGTGACAGCAATAGTAATACAGTGGGACCGCATGCTAGCTAAATAACACCCTGTCTTCCTTTACTAATAGTCCATTTGAAATTTTCTCTGAAAGCAATATTGTGATGAAAATATAAGGGCGTGAGTTGGTGTGTTTATTTACAATTACCTAAAAACCAAATCAAATTTGGATGTATTTAGCAAACATTCAATTTTGAAAGGATTATGGTGGTGCATTGCTAATGAATTCATGGCAAATAACTCACAATCATGACAATAATGATCCTTAATTCCCTGTGCATGTGCACAGGCACACACACAGTCCCTTTTCCACAAAGAAGTACAGACAACACTTAACAGCCCTTCTGAAAAAGTACATGGCTGTAAAGATAAAATAGCTGCTAAGTGTGAGACTCTGCTTCCAGCTAAATTTAAATTGTAAAGCTGTCTTCCTCCTGAAATCTTCGAGAGTCATCTAGTGTTGTCAATATTCACGTTCAGGTGACCTTTATGAGGTACCTATGTGTATGTCTCTCTTAGATGCTTTATCAAGAAATTAATTTTTAAAGGTCCATTTATATTATCATTTTCTAACTTTTAAGGTTTAAGAGAGTGTAGAAAAATCTCAGTTTACCAGAAACCCCAAGGAACGAAGCACTCCAGGGAGCTAAGTTTTCTAAGTGCTCAGTGGTCGATCTTTTTCATGATGGTTTAAGGTCATCATTTTGCACATCAATTATTGCACTCTGCTCTGTTACACAGAGAAGCCCTTATGGGCTGTTTGGGTGCCTTGCCATTTACCGATCACGCTAGCTGGTCGCAGTAGTCTGCTATGCTTTTTAAGGTTATGTATTTTATAGATTTTCTGTTTTCTCCTCTGTAGACAAGTTGTCAGCTGTCATTTCTCATTGCAATCAGTAGGTTTCCTATAGCAGCTTCTCTATCCCTTCTAATTTGTTGCTATTAATCAGCTATGGGTTTAGAAATCAGACTACCAAATGAAGTGGGATTGCATGTAAAGAAACAAATACCTGCTGTCTTAATGCACAGGGGGCTCTGTTAGATGTGTAACACAGGAGCCTTGCGTTTGCAGCATCTATTTTGGCTGCGCAAAAACACCATGATGGCGTATATCTTGGTTCCTAGGTGATGTGGTACACTTCTAAATAGATGATCTTACTATAATTGGGATGCAGCCATTACTTGAGGTGATGGCAGTATAAACTCT